GGAGCTCCGGAACAGATCCTGTCCACAACCGGTGGTACCACTGTATTTGCCTTGCTTTCCGCTGGATCCTGCCTCCATCCATTCTTCTCCGACTGGTCATGGATTTAGGGGACTCAGAGTCCCATGGGGTGTTGGACAGCAAAAGCCAAACCCCAATTTCTACATCAGTCCTTAATCACAATATTGATTTGTTTCTTGCTGCTGTCTATCTATACTGCTTTATGTGTTTATTTGTGCTGCTTTTAGCTGTTGCTGACTGCTTTTGCTGCTCTCACCATTTTTATCTGCTTTATTACTAGCATTTTATTGTCCTGTACTGTACTTGAAAGCCACTGTGGGGACTGAAAGAATAGTAGAATAGAAATCCTACGAAGGAACAAATGGACCAAGTAAGCATTCATGGTGTGCTGTATGCTGCAGAACAACATACCTTTACTCAAAAACGTGGTTGACTAGCAGCTTGCCACACCCTCCCTAATTCCAGGGGCTGATGAATGAGCTGATGTGTCTCGTGTAGTGAGGGAACTGCAGGGAGATACAGGCTTAGAGCTGGTTCCATGCTCATCCTTTGGCAGCTGTAGCATCAAGCAATGGATCTGCATGTGTGAAAAAGCCACCACAGATCAAATGCCTCAGAGACAACTTTCATACTACCTCAAGCCCAAATGAGTCAGCTGATACATTTGGCTGTGTCTCACAAAGTGCTGAGTGATCAAGTGACAAGAGATCAAGTGATGCATTCAGAGCAGGACAAGTTCTTGTGCTGGTCTGATCCCCAAATGAGATTTGTGTGTGTGCCTGTAGGAGAGCTCCTCTGCCCCCCCCCCCCCGGATGCACGAGGGAGCGATGGGAGCGGCCTGCTAGCCTCATTTCTGAAGATGACATGTCTGCTTGCCCTGCTGTCCTGGTGATTGTGCCTACAGAATGAAGAAGGACCTTCTGTGACCCAGGTGCACATTGTGTCCTTTCTCAGCTACAGCTCAGTGGCAGAGCACCTGCGTTGCAGGCAGAAGGTCCTGGGTTCAATCCCTGGCACCTCCAAGTTGGCTTCAGAAAAGGCTCTTGTCTGGAACCCTAGAGAGCTGCTGCCAGCCAGTGCACACATTACTGAGCTGATATGCCAGTGCTGTGACTTGGTCTAAGGCAGCTTCTTTCATTCCTACGCTCCACTGGGGGGTGTATGTGGCTAGTGAGCACATTGGCATTGGGAATGGTGTGGCCAGGGGGCCTTGCCCCCTACCATGCACTCAGTGTACATATGTGTGCAAAGGAATCTCTGAACACTCCCAGCCTATTTGTGACATTTCACTAAGCTGGCAGCCAGGCATGGGGATCTCCTGTTGATAGGCCCAATCTGGCCTTCATTCTCCCAGGCCCCATCCATGGCTGCACCAGAACTCCTCTCCTCTCATTCTCCTGCAGCTCCTCTTCAAGATTATGCTCCCATTGCTTCCTCCCTAATTTGGCCTCACAGTTGGGAACAAAACTCCCTCCCCTTGCTGATTGGATCTAGCTTCTTTGAGATTAATAAATTGGTTATTGAGCAGAAATTAGCAGGTGATAAATGTCAATCTTCATGTCGTGAGAACCTGCTTCTGCAGTTCAAGGTGCTCTTAAGGGCACAAGAGCAGATGAGGCTGGGATTCCCCCCCCCCCCCCGGTTAGCTGGCAGCTCAAAGATTGAGGGTTTCATTTCTTGCTGCCATGGCATAACAAATATATTCTGCTTGGGTTGCCAGTTTAAGTGAAAAGCCATTCTGCTTTCACAATTGTATGCTGTTGATATGAATTTAAAAAGAAGTTGGGATTCATATTTGTACCTTTGCTGTTGTTGTTTTTTTGAGCACTTCTGAAAGAAAGAAATAAAGACCCTATCTGTCCATCTAATGTAGAACCTTGATTCTCAGTTGAGTCTCAAGACTTGTTCATGTTACACCAAACACAGGTACAATATGTACAACATGCACAGCTCAACTACTATGTACTTAGGTACACACCTGAATAACTCTACAAGTTTACAACTCAACCGTTAGTGTACACAGGTACAGAAACTTGACATTATTAAATAGAATCATAGAATTGCAGAGTTGGAAGGGATTCCCAAGGGCCATCTAGTCCAACCCTCTGCAATGCAGGAATCTCCACTAAATCATCCCTGGCAAATGCCTATCCAACCTCTGCTTAAAAACCTCCAAGGAAGGAGAGTTCACAACACCTACTGTTGAACAGCTCCTACTGTCAGAAAGTTTTCCTGATGTTTAGTAGGAATCTCCTTTCTAGTAATCTGAAGCTACTGGTTTGAGTCCTACCTACCTTGATCTGGACACTATACTTCTGTTGATAGAGGCTACAATAGCATTAGCTTTTTTTGCTGCTGCATCACACTGTTGACTCATGTTAAGATTGTGGTCCACCAAAAGCCCTAGATCCTTTTCACATGTACTGCTAGTAAGCCAGGTGTCCCCCATCTTATATTTGTGCATTTGGTTCTTCCTGCCTAAGTGCAGAATCTTACATTTGTCCCTGTTGAAATTCATTTTGTTAGCCTGCACCCAGTTCTCCAATCTGTTAAGGTCACGTTGAATCCTAATACTGTCTTCTGCTGCATTAGTTACCCCTCCCAGTTTGGTGTCATTTGCAAATTTGATTTAATCCTAGTTGTTTATAAAGACCTTAAACAAAAGGGGGGCCAGGACAGAATCCTGCAGCACCCCACTTGTCACTTTTCCCCAGGACACCGAGGAGCCATTTATGAGTACTCTTTGGGTTTGGTTGGTCAACCAGCAGTTACCTCATATGTGTGTGTGAGCACATCTTAAGAAATAGCCAACAGCTCATTCAACGCTGCTGTTACCAAATCTGAACCAATAAGAGTTTTTGACCAAAGGGGATGAAATCTTCTCGAAAGAATTTGAAAGTGACATATACTCGGAGTCGAGTGTGAATTTCATGCTCTTTATTCAGCTCATAGTAGCAATGAATGAAACTTTCCCCAAAACGTCTAGCTATATCTACATTATTTACACAATGGGCCCCGTGTGATTGGCTAATTCCGGGCTGCTCCTGCAGGCCAATCAGGTCGCTGATTCACTTCCACCTGGAGCTGAATTGGGTGGCTCCTGTGGACCAATCAGACTACTGCATTCTGGATCCTATTGTTCTAGGATTCAGCTCAGTACATAACAGAAAGGATGTAACATGAGATGAAATTATTGTGTTTTAGGAATGGATTGATCAAAAAAGGAAAAGTGTTTTCCTCCCCTCAACCTCAAAAAGAAAGATTTTGTTGTTGTTGTTTACATGCATCATAGCAGAAAGGAAGAGGGTTTAGGGATCAGTGTTATTTAAAAATGATCTTATTATTAGGAAAAGATGTGGGGTTGTTGGTGCATGAAGTCCAATATTTGATAGGAAATAAAGCATAACTGTTTGTTATGCTATTCCCACTTCTCCAACGACTGTGAAATTCCATGAGCTCAGATTATTTGGAATGAGAGAAGACATTTTCCTATTTTAAAATGTAAGGCTGCCATCATACAGCCCTCATTGGAGGCTTTGTAATGCTGCAACACAATGCTGGGGCAGCAGGCAGGGGCAAACCAGGGGGCATGTTGCCCAATGCCAGTAGACCTGGCATGGAGGCTGGGGCCTAGAAGTGGAAATAAGTAAAAAAATTGAGGGGCAGGGTGGGGCAAAGAGGAAAATGGAGGTTTGAAAAAAGCAGTCTCTGGTAAGACATGGTATTTGACAAATGGAAGGTGAGGGGGGCCCCACTTCGCTTTCACCAAAATTCCCTCCCCTCTTGAAGTCGCAGGGGTTCCCAATGTGTGCTCCATGGGGCACCAGTAGCCCACAAGCCCCACTGCAGTCCTAAGTGAGGGTAGGACTTTGGGTCAAAAGGGGACCCGGCACCTTGATGAATATTATATCTTCTAAGTAAGTCACTGAGGTTTATGGTGTTCTGTTTTGTAATTGAGTTTATTTACAAATATACTGGTTGCACATAAGAGGAGGCAGACAGCTTAAAAACACCAGTGGACAGCCAAAATTCATTGCCCCGCACCCACTCCTGGATGGGTGGTGGAAAGGTCCCTTTCCAGATCTTGCAGATCCCCAAAGTCAGCGGTCAGACTCTTTCTGTATGTCTTGCTCAAAAACTGATACTCTTTGTTTACTTTCATAGACACCCACACAGACTTAGACTGCATCATCTGTATGGGTGGGGGGTATGGACCCTGCCCCCTTTTCTGATTGGTTTTCAGAAGACACCAGAGTGGTACTATATCAAGTTGCAATGGTCTAACAATGTAGGAATGAATGGGGCAGTCCCTGCACGCTCTCCCATGAAAGCAAGGGGAACCAGAAGGGAAGGAGGACAGGGATCCTGTAGCTTTAACATTTATATAGAAGAGGGAAATTTGGTCCGCTCAGATTGCTATGCAAGGCTGAGAAAATCTGTACCTGCTGAAGTTTCCTGACTTGCTGGAGATTGTACCCAGAACCTTCTCTCTCTAAGCAGATGCTCTACCACTGATCTGTGCCCTTCTCTGTCCTGGGTTTGTGACACTGCACTGGAACAGCCATTCTCAAAATGGCTCTAAACCCTTGAGTGAATTGTACTCCTTGCTTTCACTTTAATGTGTCTCTGTGTTCTGTTGGGTCAATGGCTAGACCTCTCTTGTAGAAATAAACACTTTAGCAATATAATATGGTTCAGCCTTGTGTGCCAACTTCCAGTGAGATTTGTGGTTCTGTAAGAAGTTTTATTCCCACCCTGCTAGAAAGGTCGGGGGGACAGGGCAAGACATACCCTCCAAACCAATTGACTCTTCTACACTACCCCTAAATGGCAAACCAAACATTCATGAAAAATGAATGACTCAGGAAATTAGTACCTTCTTATGTTTCAGAGAATGAAACGCCACCGGCACCCTTTCGCCGACAGACATAAGTATGTTGATGTGCTGGATACTTTATCTCAAACTACTTATCCTGGTAATTGCCTCGGCAGGCGGCAGCTCCAAGAGCCCTGTGAAACACAGCCAGGATGCCTAGAAGTGAAAAGCCAACTGCCTCACCAAGGAATGGTAATGGCAATTTTAATTATACATCTTATTCCAGCATCCTTTAGGTGCATAATTCTAGTGTTTATAGCTGAAACTCCCTCCCAACACCAGTCTGGGGTGTGTGTGCGTGTGTGCGTGCGTGCGTGTGGGGGGGACTTCTGCATTGTCTCTGAAATTTGCTCTTAGCTTCTTCCTTTCATTTCGGCAGCCTAGCTGTTAACTTGCTACTAACTCGTAAATCAAAACTCTGTGCTGGCATTCTCTGTTTTTGAAACACAACTAAGAAAGAGAAAGAATAATAGTAAGAAAACAAAATTTTGGCTCAGTTGAGGCAGATGCCTACTTTCCCACTTATAGGACTTGAATACAATATCTACATTTCTGCATGTGACTTGAATTGTCAGTCATGAGGAGAAAACTTAACAGTCTCCCCAAGATACTGCTGCCGGCACCACAAGCCATTGTTTTGAGCCATGTTTTCAAAGATTTTCATCCTGCAATATTGGAAAGGTAGCAGCTGCCTCCTCTGCAGTTTTGTGAACACTCTCTGGGAACACTGACTCCCGTTAAAAACAATGACTTTATTATCATTTTTATTTTTATCCTATAAATCATCCTGAAGCTATTAACAATAACAATATCAACAATAAAACCATATATAACTACCATATGGATAAAATATTCACTTTAAAATATGGACCTAAATATGTATTTGTATATAGAAGTCATGGAATTCACATCGGAAATAGTCATGAAAACTGTCCAGTTGGTACCAGGATTTTACCATCTATGAAAAAGAATATTTACAAGAAAAATAGCTTATAGTTCTCTTGGAACCAGTAGGGACTGTCAAATCTTTTTATTATGTGGCATTCTGTCCAGGGCATGGTTAAAATGACTGGATGACCTAGCTCATATGAATTTAGAAATGTGTTATTTTCATTTATTTGTTTTCATTTCTTTGTCTTAATCAGTTCATGTGGTTGTTATGAAATCAATTCCAAAAGTGCGTTTCAGATCTTTTTCTGAATTTACAGTAGTAAGACGTTGACCCCATTCATTTGGAGTTTCAGTTCAGCTGTCATTGTGGTTTTAGGGGCAGGCAATTCTTATCAAAGATATTCTTTGGTGCTGGTTTTGATTTCCATTGTTATAGATCAACCTACAGTGTTGCTTGAAAGGGCCAGTCCAGTCCAGTAAACAAGTTGTTTGAGATACCATTCTCAGTCCTCAAATGACTTTTTGTTAACGTTTTTCATTTTCAGCATAAAAGGGATGGTTTCAAAGGATCACATGGGGTTGTCTTCAGTAACTTTCAGTGAAGGAGTTATGACAGTACTTGTTAAATTCAGAATGCCTCTGTTGATTCATGAAATAATAATAATAATAATAATAATAATAATAATAATAATAATAATTTATACCCTGCCCATCTGTCTGGGTTTCCCCAGTCACTCTGTATGTGTATGATACTAACTGACTGCAGCTGCAAGCATATTTTATTCAGAGGCAGGCATCAGTTCTAGGGAGAGAATGGCACCCAGCCCCACCCAGCCCTATTGTTCCTTTCAAAGCATTGGGAAGACCTGTGGCGAGAGGTAGCTGTGTGGGCAGGCCAAGCACGGAGGGAGCTGCTCTGCGACTCTGCTGGGACCTTCCTGTCATCAAATAAATGCTTCTGAACTACTTTTGATTAAGAGAGGCAGATATATGGGTGTAGCTAGGGGATGGGGGGTCAGCTGGCCTCCTAAATCAAATAAATGAATGAAAACACTTAACTAAAAGTAGAAATTATAGAAAGAATTTGACAGATTTTTTTCTGAGCACTTGTGTTAAGTCGTGGGTTGACATAGCAGCCGGCACAGCGATTTCTTCAAGTAGCTCTTTATTATGGTAAGCTGGAATACAACTGACTGCGACAGCTCAGCCGGCCTGTATTTATAGGCAGCCGGCTGTCAACATTGTAACCACAACAGCCCAGAGTTCCCGCCTAAAATAACTGCCGCGGACCTGAGTGAAAACTATCTACAGACCTGAGTGAAAACTATATACAGTATCCCCCTGTTGGCCCAGGGTGAAACTACACTACATAACACCCCTCCCCACCGAGATAAGGCGTTAGTTACAATCGTAATGGTTTCCTTATATACAGCACTACGCGTAATGGTTCCATTAAGCACAAAAGCATATCGGTTACATTTCCCATACTTAGACCAACAGTGATACCTGTCCAACAACATAGTCCTTTAAATAAGTTGGGCGCTTGGAAACTCTGCCAGACCGCCGGGAACTGGTAGCCAAGTCCGGAGGGCCACACAGTTCTCGCTGAGGCTGTGGTGCGACCCTAGGTGGCGTTGGAACCAACTCCCCTGGATCCGCTGCTGTGGGTGGAGCCTCCGCAAGTGGAGTGGTCTGAGTCTGTTCTGAAACGGCTTGGTTCGGCTCCACGCTGGCAGTTTGCGAGGGAGGTGTAGGTGGGGCCTCGCCATCTGTACGTGTCTCTTCTGGAGCCGCAAGCGCAGTTGGGGGCACCTCGGTAGTGTCCAAGTCCCCAACCCTGCGCCTAAGCTGGTCTATGTGCCGTCGCCACAAGCGTCCGTCTTCGAGTGCCACCTGGTACGAGCGAGGTCCAGTGACTCCCACTACTGTGGCTGGCACCCAAGGGATGTCCCCCACATAGTTCCGGGCAAAGACCTGGTTTCCTGGGACAAATGACCGTGGTGCGTTGGCACAGCCTGGGGGTTCAGCCACGGCAAAGTCTGGGTGTAGCCGGTCGAGCGGTGACCTGAGGCGGCGGCCCATAAGCAGTTCAGCAGGACTCCTCCCTGTGGCCGCATGAGGGGTGATGTGTTGCACGAACAAGTATTCGGCGACCCGCTCATGCCAGTCTCCCCGGTCCAGGCGCGCCAGTGCCTCTTTTGTCGAGCGCACCATTCTTTCCGCTTGCCCGTTGCTGGATGGATGAAAGGGTGCCGTTAGGGCATGGCGGATGCCCAGTCCCAAAAGATACCGCTCAAACGTGCCTGACGTGAACTGCGGTCCGTTGTCAGAGACAAGGACATCAGGACACCCATGCGTTGCAAACAGGCCTCGCAGCACCCGGATGACAGCTTCGGTAGTGGTGGAGGGCATCAGTGCGACCTCCAGCCATTTGGAATAGGCGTCCACCACTACCATAAAGGTCCGGCCGTGAAAGGGGCCAGCCAGATCGATGTGCACCCTCGACCAGGGTGTCTTTGGCGTCTCCCAGGTGTGTCCCTTAGCTGCCGGTGGTGCAGGCCTCGACTCCTGGCACGCTTGACAGGCGGACACCCAGGCAGTGATGGCATCGTCCATATTAGGCCACCAGACGTAACACCGAGCCAACGCCTTCATTTTGACAATTCCCGGGTGGCCAACGTGCAGAGCCTCCAGGACGCGCTGACGGAGTCCCTGGGGAATCACGACGCGGTCTCCCCACAGCAGGCAGCCACGATGAGCTGAGAGTTCATGTTGTCTGGTTGCGAAGGGCTGGAACTCCGATGCAAAAGGCCCTTGTGGCCACCCCCTCCACACCCAGTTGAGCACCCGGCTGATGGTGCGATCCTGGGCAGATGCGGAGGCCACAGTGGCAGCCGATACAGGCGCTGCCGGAAGATCCTCAATCAGAAGGAGCGATGAAGCTGGAGCCGGGTCTTCCACAAATGCTGGAAGAGGGCAACGGCTGAGGGCGTCGGCATGGCCCATCGATTTCCCCGGGCGATGGATGAGCCGGTAGTGGTAGGCAGCCAGGAAAACAGTCCATCGCAGCATGCGTGGTGAGAGGACCGGTGGAGTTGGACGATCACCGGCGAGGAGGCCCAGGAGTGGCTTGTGGTCAGTGATGAGGTCAAAAGTCCTGCCATAGAGGTATTCATGGAACCTCTTCACTCCAGCCACAAGTGCCAATGCCTCCTTGTCGAGCTGGCTGTAATTCCGTTCCGTCGGAGATAGTGTCCTGGAAAAGTAGGCGAGCGGTGCTTCTCTTCCATCTGGAAAACGGTGACTAAGGACAGCACCGATGCCAAAAGGTGAGGCGTCGCAGGCAAGGACCAGCGGCCTGGATTCACTGTACTGTACCAGCACACTGTCTGAAGAAAGGAGAGCCTTGACCGCGTTGAAGGCCGCCGTCTCCCGATGACCCCAGGCCCAAGGCGTCTTAGTGCTAAGGAGTCGGTGAAGAGGCTCAGCCACTGTGGCTTTGTGGGGCAGGAACATGTTATAAAAGTTCAGCAGCCCCAGGAATGCCTGCAACTCCGTTTTGTTCTTTGGGGTGGGGGCCTGCTGGATAGCGCGGATCTTGGATGTGGTTGGATGAAGACCGGAGGCATCGATAAGATAGCCCAGGAACTCTACCTGTGGAACGGCGATCTGGCACTTCTCCCTCTTTACCTTGAGCCCGGCCTCCTGGAACCTGGTCAGCACGGCACGGAGGCGCTCGAACAGCTGCTGGTGTGAGTCTGCAGACACCAAGACGTCATCAAAATATGGTACCACGCCCGGAAGCCCTTGCAGGAGACGCTCCATAAGGCTTTGGAAGATGCCAGGAGCCACACTCACCCCGAACTGCAACCGGCGGCAACGGAAAGCCCCCCGGTGGGTGACGATCGTCTGGGCTTCAGCAGTGGCATCATCGACTGGCAGTTGTTGATAGGCTTGGGCAAGGTCCAGCTTAGCGAAGACCTTACCCTCACCCAGGGAATGCAGCAGGTGTTGGACAACAGGAACCGGATAAGCGTGCTGCTGAAGTGCCTTGTTGATCGTGCACTTGTAGTCAGCGCAGATTCTCACCGACCCATCTGGCTTGACAGGCGTGACGATGGGGGTTTCCCACTTTGCGTGGTCAACCGGCTCCAAAACTCCTTGGGCGATCAGTTTGTCCAGTTGTTCGTCCACCTTAGCCTTGAGAGCAAAGGGAACCCGGCGTGGCTTTAGCTTGATGGGGGCGACTTGTGGATCAAGGCTAAAGGAGATGGGCGTACCTGTATATTGGCCCAAGGTGC